AGAAGGATGGAGCCCTTCCATGCCCTTCCAGAGGCGGTGTGTGCGCAGATGAGCACGCGTGTTTATTTCAGTGGAACTGTGAACCTAACACAGCTATACATCTCTGCTTTTAGCATATGATATCCGTGTCTTGGATATCATTACATATACAGCTGCTCATTATTTTTAACAGTCACATAATATTCCTGTGTATAAAATTTCAATGTACCATAATTTATTTCACCAAGGTCCTCTTGATTTGGGCACTTTGCAGCCCTTTGCAATTACAAACAATGCTGCAGTGAGATTGCTTGTTACACACATGCGACTGTATCTATAGGAGGAACTCCTGACCATAGAATGGCTGCATCAGAGGGTTTCTGCACCTAAGTATTACGGTGGAACAGGAATATGTGGGGGAAAGAGTTCTTCACCATGAAGTGATGAAAGCGGAAATGGAATACATCCTAAAGCACCAAATTTGCCAAACTGCCACCCACAGAGGGCGCTGCCACCAGTAGCATATGAGTGTCCATTTCCTTACACTTTGCCAGCACAATGTAGTATAAAATGTTTTCACCTTTGCCAATCTGAAAACTGGAAAAAATGGTATTTTGCTGTAATTTTAGTTTACACTTTTCTTATCATGAGTGAGGTTGAGGTTGAAATGCTATTTGTGTTTTCTTTTCTGTGAGCCACCTGCTCTTGTTCTTTGCCCAATTTTATATAGGACTGTTGGGAAGCTTTCTTAACTATCTGTAAAAGCTCTTTATATATTAAGGACATTACTCTTTGTCATTTATATTCTAGTTTATCACTTGACCTGCAACTATTTTATTGGTGGTTGTTTTTTCCATTCAGAAATTTTAAATTAATGTAGTTCGGTTTGTCAATTTTTTCCTTTTTTGGCTTCTATTGTGTATTATGCTCACAAAGGTGCACTTGGAGGGGCAGAGGGCAAGCAGTTGTGTAGCTGGCCTTGGATTCGAGTCCTGGTTCCCTCACTTAGTGCTTTGTACTTTGGGTAAACCAATTTAACTTCTTGGTGGCTTAGTTCCCTTGCCTATGAAATGGAGTCAGTGATTTCTACCTGCCCGGTATGTTGCAAGGATTATATCAGATCGTATCACAGCATGACATTGGTACTCACTCCCCAGGCACTCACAGGTGCTACCATGAAGGTGTCACCCCTGACTCAGAAAGCTGGTGGGCCCGGGGGAAAACAGAACCAGTGGAGGGGGTGCTGGAGGAAGAAGAGGACCACGCCATGGGAAAGTTCTTGGCTGTTGAGTGAAGGGTGCGACCTCCTGACGTGGAGGGCTTCACTCAGCTGGCACTCGCACAGGGAGCTGGAAGGGAGCCTGAATGTTCACCCTCATCTCTGTCGCACGGAAGCAGCTTTAGAGTCAGAAAAAACAGAGGTGGGCAAGTGCGACGCTGGAGGGAACCAGAAAAGCCATGAGGTGGTACCTGGGGGTAGTGGGCTGAATGGTGGCCCCTAAAAGACATGTCTACCCAGGACCTATGGCTGTGATCTTATTTGGGAAAAGAGTCTTTGAAGATATAATTAAGGATCTTGCGATGAGATCATCCTGGACTAACCAGGTAGGCCCTAAGTCCAATGACAAATGTCCTTTAAGAAGAGGAGAAGACACACAGGGGAAGGCCACGTGAGGAGAGGCAGAGATCGGAGTGATGCAGCCACAGGCCCAGGAACAGCACGAGCCTCCGGAAGCAGGAAGGGGCAAGGATGGATTCTCCTAGACTTGCAGAGCCCTGCTGACAACTGGATTTTGGGCTTCTGGTGTTCAGAACTGTGAGAGAATAAATTCCCATTCTTTTAAGCCACCAGGTATGTGGTGGTTTGTTAGGGCAGCCACAAGAAACTAAGACGCTGGGGTGTGGAAGCCGAGTGGGTCATCGGTGATGGAATGGGAACTGCAGATGAGACTGCCAAGTGCACAGAGATTGTCGCACCTTCCGTAAGGAGAGTGGCGGAGGCGATGAGCGTGGATGCCAGCCCTGTCACATGGACTTGGGTTTGAAGGGGGGGTTCCCGCTGGACTGGACCCCACAGATAAACAGCCTGATCATACATCCCATGAAGTCCGGCTTCTATGCCCTGCAGCAGCCTCGGGCTTTGAAGTAGCTCCATGTTGAATCCTTGTCAGGGACTGGGCAAACCTCGCTCCACTTTGCTGGGAAAAGCTGAGAACCTTCCAGGCAGGTGAAGCTTGCAGAGCTTGGGGAGCCAAAGGAAATGTACCTCCTTCCCTGCAGCTTCCTCCCAACGGTGGACCTCTGCCTTTTTACAAAGCAGCGCAGGCTGGCCTTTGGGAGTCAGATGGGAAGAAGGGAGATGAGGAGGGTCAATTCATTAAACTTTGGAGCCTTACTGAGGAAGTGGTGAAATGGGAGAAGACAAATGACAAATGATGCAGCTCTTTGCTCAGAGCTTTGGCCTAGATCTACATTCGTTTGGTGGCACAGATGAGGACCAGCAGCCTGGATAAAAGCTGTGACTGTCTGAAGCCTCAAAGTCAGGTTGTTTCCTGTGGAGCTCCTGGGCCCTGAGCTCAACACTGTCCCCAACCCCATCAGTGAGAAGGTGACCGACTGCCCCTGGAGATGGAGACACCCTGGAGGGGAGGGTGGTCAAGTCATAGCAGACAGCATACGCAGGTGGCTCATTCTGTTTTAGTTAAAGGTGCTAATGCCTGAAATGGAAGATATAACCTTCCTTCTCTGAACAAAAATGGGTACATCTCAGCTGAGCCATTCAGCCAGTGCTGGGAGTTGCTGGGGCGAGGGAGGAGAGTGGATGGGAGAGTGAGGAGGGGGAGCCCTGGGCTCTTAGGGTGGACAACACCTGGAGCCTGCCCCCCTCTGTCCTTTCCTTTGTGTGTGCGCACGCACATGCATGTATGTGTGTGCATGTGCATGTGTGTGCGCGTGTGTAACTTTACACTCTGGAGGTGTTGCTGCTGAGGGGCTGTTGTGAGCACGTTTTAAAGCATCTGCACAAAGCTTGCATGATTCTGAATGTTCTGGGCTCCGGAGAAGCTTGAAATTTCACATTGGACTAATATTCATTACGAAACCAAAAACATGAAAATTGAGCCAATTCCTGAACATTACCGGAGTTCCAAAATGCTCTGACGCTCTGTCTTGGATCATGAGAACCACCAGCTCCCAGTATCATCTGAGGTGTGTCCATGTAACTGCGTCATAAACTCTTAAAGCAAGGGCTTGGGTTTCCAGAAAACACTGTTTAAATGTAAACTTTATTCCACACATTGTCGGTTTTCATTTTAATAAAGGTTTATGCACAAATGCACACATAAATGTATATATATATATCCATACATATACACACACGCATATACATATACATATCCAATATACATCGGTGAACACCCAGCACTGTGCCAGGCGTGCAGTAGGATGACAGTCCCTGGCAGCGCCCTCCTCCTGCTCGCTCAGAGCAGGGCTTCTCAAGCTCACCCAGGGGCTTCAGAAGCACAGAGGCCGGGGGCCCAGTCTGGTCAGTCCCCAGGTTGTACATGCTCCCCGGGGACTTTTGTTGTGCGTCTAGGTTTGGGACTCACTACTGAAGTATCCTGAGTGGATGAAGGACTCGAGGTTGGACGGGAGACTGTGTCCAAATGAGCAGAAAGGACTGCCCCAGCCATGGGCTTGATAGGGGGTGGAGGGCGAGCGTGTGGCAGGACTGGGAGGCTTCCAGTAAAGAAGCTCAGGGGAAAAGGGGGGGTAAAGCACTGGCTCCAAAGGGAGGAAATTTTGCTTCTGTTTACTCTTGCTCTCAAAGCTAATGATTGTTGAAAAGCCACTCTTTGTGGGTACACTGAACACCACTAGCTAACAGGTAGCATCAAATGGGAGCTGACGGTGGGAGAGGCCTGGGCGGAGGGAGGTACAGCTTGTGGGGGGCGGGGCAACATGAGGTCTCAGCCCCCTTGTCTTGGCAGCTGGGTGGTCAAAGTGGTGAAAACCCTGCTGCTGAAGATGGGCTGCTCATACGAGGCCACCTTTCTGGATGAGCAGGGCGGCTGGGAGCTCATGGGGCAGGCGGAGAACCACCACCGAGGAGTGTCCCTGCTGGCAAGGTGAGGCCAGGGACCGTGGGGCAGGGGTCCGAGGGAAGGGAGAGACCTCAGCATCTTCAGAGAGACTTGGGTTTGCATCCCTGAGTCTATCATGTCTTCCCTGAAACCAGCGGAGTATCGTCTACCTCGGCGGGTAGGCGACACAGATGTGAGAGACGGCCCACGCTCTACGGAGGCGAAGTGTGGTTATCACAGTGCCTGGCAGCCGCAGAGCGCTTCGATGATTTATGAAGAGCTTTTCTCACTGCAGTCTGAGTGTAGTTCCCACACTAGAGCAGAAATGATGGGATGGCTGAACAGTTCAGAGTGTGGCCTCGGAGTCCACATTTACTGAGCACTTACTGTGCTTAAGGCACCATGCAAAGGGCTGTATATGTGTGGATTATTCCATTTAATTCTCACCATGACTGATGAAATATCACTATTATTGTCCCACTGTTACCCAGGAGGAAACGGAGTAGCAGAGAAGTTAGGTGACTTGCCAAAGTCACACAGCTAGTGGTGGGGCCAAGATCTGAACCCAGGCTGTCTTGCTGCAGACTCTGCACGGCTGCCACACTCTCTGGATTCACTGATGAATGGAGCGTAGTGCAGTGGTCCTCAGACTTGAGCGAGCATCACAATCCTCCAGGGGCTTGTTGGAGAATCACTGACTTGTACAATGAACAAGGCAGCTGGAGTGGAGAGCCCTGGGCTGGGGCTCCAGCCCTGCCATTTTCCCAGCTCGGTGACCCTGGGCAGGCTACACTTGGAGCCTCTGTCTCCTTATCTGTGAAAATAAGATCCTGTCCAGGTGGAAAATCTTGGGAACGCAGGAACCCAGGGGACCCTCCCTGTCTGGGCCATAGTTTTGAGCCTCATGGCCAGGCTCCCACCCAGCAGGTCCCCCTGGGCTGGCGAGCTGAGGGACTGCTGCCCCTTCCCCACCCCAGGGCCATGGTGCGCTACTCCTGCCAGGAGCTGTGCCGCATCCTCTACCTGCTCATCCCGCTCCTGGAGCGAGGCGACGAGAAGCACAAGATCACTGCCACGGCCTTCTTCGTGGAGGTACCAACCGGGCACTGGGTGCAGGGTGGGAGCGGCTCCCAGGCCTTCCCCTGAGCATAGGCCTCAGTTCACATTACTGGCCTTTTCTCCTGTGCAAACAGCACTTAACAGTTTACAGTCTTTCGTGAGCACGATTCCTCTTGAATATGAATAGCTCCCTCTTCCCTCCTTTGCTCCTCCTCTCTCCACTCCTTCACCCCATTCCACTCTTCTCAGACCCCTTCGTGCCCCAGGCAACCACTATTCTTTGCCGGGCACTTGTGTGTGCCAGGCGCCAGAATGGAGATACAAATATAAATTTGACTCTGCCCTGCTCTCAATGAATTCTTGGCGCAACAGAGGAGGCAGAGGACAGCTCTGTTATAACACGGGTGCCATAGAGTGATGTGTGTTTACCAGGCTGTGGTGGGAGAACAGGGGACTTGAGGTGGTGGGGAGCATCAGAGAGGGCTTCCTGGAGTAAGTGACATCTAAGCTGAGTGTGTGTCTGGGGGGGGGGAGGTACTGGGAGGGGTTGTTATGGAAAGATGAGCCAGGAGATTGATAGGGTCAGACCCAGGAGATGAGACTCACCTATAATAACAGAACATTTACTGAGCACTTACTGTTTCCCAGGCACATTCTAAGAGCTTCACACATATTGATTCATGTAATGCTCACACAGTCCTATGATGCAGGTACTATTCTATCCCCCAATTCAGAGGAGGAAAGTGAGGCACAGATTTAAGTAACTTTCCTAAGTCCTTGCAGCTTGTAAGGGACAGATCCAGGATTCAAACCGAGACATCTGGGCTCTTAAAACACACACTCTATTTAGTTTGTGTGTGTGAAAATAAATACAGGGTGTGGCAAAAGTAGGTTTATAATTGTGAGTACATGAAACAGAGATTATATTATTTATTATTGTATTATTTTCCATACAAACTGTAAACGTACTTTTGCCCCACCCTATATATCACAAAGTTACCATTTGGACCATTTTTAAGTGTACAGCTCGGCGGCACTAAGTACATCCTCACTGTTGTGTAACCATCACCACCATCCATCTCCACAACTTCTTCATCTTCCTTCCTGACCTGAAACTCCCCAGCCCCCCCTCTCCTGGGCCTGGCGACCACCGGTCTGCCTTCTGTGTCTGTGAACCTGTCTATTCTAGGTTTTACATAAGTAGAATCATACACTATCTGGCTTATTTCACTTAATGTAATGTTTTAAGGTTCATCCATGTTGCACCATGGGTCAGAATTTCATTCCTTTTTAAGGCTAAATCATATTCTGTAGTGTGTACAGACCACATTTTGTGCATCCATTCATCTGTTGATGGACACTTGCAAAACCAGCTCTCTTAACCCACCCTTGTGTGCCTCTTTTGACCTGCTGGTTGTCATGCAGGGGGTCAGGGCTATCACCAGGGTCTGTACAGTGGGACTCAGAGGCAGGAGGCTCAATTAAAGAAGGCTTCCTGGAGGAGGCACCATTTGGGCTGGGCCTTGAACGGTAAGCAAAGTTTGCCAAATGGACAGGAGGCAGCAGGGCATTCAGGGCACTCCTTGCATCTTTCCTGCCTCTCCAGCTGGACTGGGAGTTTTAGTGAGTTTCTATAAAGCACTCAGAACAGTGCCAGAACATAGGAAGTGCTCTCTGTGACTCGGCTCTGTTGCTATTATTATTATCATTACTCTTTTCTGTGTCTCTAGTGCCCAGCACAGAACCTGGTGCAGAGCAGGCCTGAGTATCCCTTATAGGTGCGCTCTCATCTCATGATGCAAACACATGGTCTCAATAGTCTCAGTAGATGTAAGGCAAGGGAACAGGTACAGAAGTGTTTCTGAGGACGACTAGGCAGGAACTGAAGACTGGTGGTCACGATGGGTGAGGAGGACAGTGAGGGAGAGGAAGGAGATGAGAGCGATACCTGGTTTGTGGCTGGTGGGGGTGGCTGGTGGTGTTAACCCTACAATGAGGACACAGGAGGCAAATGCATAAGCAGATGAGAGCACTAAGGTCTTGTGTTCAGGGCTCTAGGGGGCCCAGAGAAGGGACCATCAGCCTAGGTGAGGCCTGAGTCACTGTCACACATGGCTTCCCAGGGCCAAGTTCTGGATGGAGCCATGCAAGGTAAGCAGGGCTAGAGTGGAGGTGGGTGGCAGGCTGAAGGGTATCCTGCCCACACCAAAGGGACAAAACAGCCTGGGTCATTCCATGAGCAGAGGGCGGCTTAGTAGGAAGTTGGCAGATGGTAAGAATGGCTAGAGGGAAGGCAGGCATGAGTGAGGCCCCAGAGCAATTAGGGTTGACGGTGAGAGGCAATGGGACCACGGGGGCTCTGAGCTGGATAGTGGCATGTTCAGCTCTGACGTGAGGTGCTGGACATCCGGTGGAGATGTACGGTGAACTACTGGTTTTCTAAATCGGAAGCTCTGGACAGAGGCTGAGAGGGAGATACTTAGGAGTTATTCCCCGAGGAGTAGCAGTGAAGATCCTCAGAGTGGGCAGCTCACCGAGAAGAGTGGACAGAAAAAACAGGGTCAGGCCATCACCACTGAGTGCTGGGTGGAGCCAGGGGAGCCAGTGGCTATCACTAACTAAACCCAGGCTGTCCAATACAGTGGCCACCAGCCACATGGGGTCTATTGGGCCCTTGAAATGCAGCTGTCTGAATTGAAATGTGTTGTAAGTATAAAATTCACACCAGGTTTGAGTGTGAAATATATCAATAATTTTTATATTGATTACATGTTGAAATGATAATATTTTGGATATACTGGGTTAAATAAAATGTATTACTAAATTTAATATTACCTATTTCTTTTTCCTTTTTAAATGTGGCTATTAGAAAATTTAAGCTTATGCATGTGGCTTGCATTGGACAGTGCTGACTGGGCAGTAATCGGTCAGGCCCCACACTCAGCCCCTGGTTATCAGCGTGTGCTACCAGTGCATGGACACGGGGAGTAATTACCATCACTCCCTCAGCTCCTCCAGATGGAGCAGGTGCGGCGGATTCCCGAGGAGTACTCTTTGGGGAGAATGGAGGAAGGCCTGAACCACCACAACCCCATCATGAAGGTGCTGTCCATCCGAGGCCTGGTCATCCTGGCCCACAAGACTGAGAAGGTGAGCCGAGGGCGGAGGCGAGCCCGGCCCAGCCTGTCTCTGGGATGGAGGAAGGATGGAATTGGCCGTCACTGACTCTCAGATGCTGGTGCTGGAACCAGACCCCATTTCTGTCCCATCTAGAAAATCAGCTGCCCCGTCTGTAAAAGGGATATCTCTTAATAATTCCCTAACTACTTTATTCTTTTTGAAAATAGTTTCTAATGCAGACTTTTCACAATGACCCTAAAGGCAGTGTGTGTAAGTGGGGCTGGGCATGGGAGTAATTATTCCAGTTTTAAAGACTAGGGAACCAAGGCCAGGATTGTCGGGGCATTATCAGTATTTTTTAAAGTGCTTTGTTTTTTTCTCCCAGTCACTGTTGCAGCTCATTTTATATATATGTATGTATAGTGGGATGAAGTGACAGGATGTAGACACCCAAAGCTAACTAATAACACAAAGAAGGGAGTAGACAGCAAAGGGCCTCTGGTATCCAGGCCAGGAAGGAGTCAGCAAGGCCCAAGAGGGCTCTGGGGACAGCAGAGCTTGAGTGGGGGCATCCAGGCCAGTGGGATGGCATCAGCAAAGGCCCGGAAGTGGGACTTGTTCCACCAAGCTCTTCTCCATGAATCAGAGGCTGGGTCTCCCACCTGTTAGTCCAGGTAGGAGCCCCTACCCCATATGCTCCTGCCTCACAGACTGCCAAGGTGCAGGCCCTCCTGCCCTCCATGGTGAAGGGCCTGAAGAGCGTCGACGGGCTGCTGGTGATGGAGGCGGGACAGAACCTCAAGACCATCTTCAAGGGGCAGGACCGGAAACTGAATGACAGCTCGGTCTATATGGAGATGCTGCAGGTCCTGCTGCCACACTTCAGTGACGTAAGGCACCCCGCGGGGGTGGGGGGTTGTAGGAGGGAGGGCTGGGGGTCGGCATATAGAGGGCGGCTCTTTACTACCCTGTGGGCTGCAACGCCTCCATGGCCAGCTGGGACCTGGGCAGGGCCAAATCAGCCCAGAGGAAGGGGCACCTCATTCCAACTGGTCCACATCTTTTTGTAATAGGTTTGCATAGGGAAAGGTCCTTTTCTAATTGGCTCTCACAGAGGGAGCTCTCTCCAGAGACTTGCTCCATTGCTCCTGGTGCACCTACAGGAGGTGCATTTTTATTGGTCCTGGCAGAGGGGGGCATTTTTCCAGCTGGCACTAAGGCACCTTTCAGGTGAGCAGGAGCCTTGGCTGGGAAGAGCGGGTGGAGCTCCGGACTTAGGCTCCGGGGTGAGGGGGAGGCCAGCCCCCGGTCAGCCCCACCAGGTGGACTCTGCTGTTCTCTGTGTCCTGTGTCTGGAGGGCCACTCAGTGGAAGGAAGGTTGTGGTGCCTCCATGTGGGGCTCAGAGGCCCAGGCGGCCTCCTGGAGGAGGGAACATGCCTGAGCCTCCGCGTCTGTCCCAGTCACGAGACGACGTGCGCTCCTTCTGCATCAACCTGTACGGCAAGGTGGTCCAGAAGCTGCGGTCACCCTGCACCCCTGCCGTGGAGGAGCAGCTGACCAGCACCTTGGTGCCCCTGCTGCTGACCATGCAAGACAGCAACACCAAGGTGGGCCAGGTGAGTGTGCGGGGCACCTGCCCTGCGGGCCCATCTCCCTTTATGGAAACGGATCCAGAATCACTAACAATCTATCGTGGGAAGTGTTTTCCAAAAGCACCACGTCAGGAGTCCTCTTCCAAACAACGAGCTTCACTTGAACGTTTCAAATAGGAATTGATTTTCCAAAATCCAGTTTCACACAGCTTTCTTCTGGGACATTTGCTGGCTGTCCTGGAGTTCCGCAGCTCTGATGTTCTCTTTCTGTTGGTCCCCAGTTCTGTGTGAAGACCCTGTTCCGCTGTTCTTACTTCATGGCTTGGGAGCTGCCCAAGAGAGCATACAGCCGGAAGCCCTGGGACGGCCAGCAGCAGACGGTGACCAAAATTTGCAACTACCTTGTGAGTGCTTCCAAGACTACAGTGGTCCCTTATGAGCATGTTGGAGGCGGGCAAGTCTTTCCTTTTCTCTTCTTTCAATATCCTGACTGGCAATTCCACCACCACCTATGAGTTGTGGGCTCCTGAATGTCCATCTCCTTCTCTGACTCCTCTCCTCCCTCCCAGTGTTCCCTTTCCAGTGGCCTGCTAGACACCTCCTTGCTGAACCACACGCCCTGCAAGCTCAGCATGTCTCTCCTGGACTTATGGCCTTCCCATTTCACTTCTGCAATGTCCCTCTAGATCCCCAAAGCTGAAACCTAGAATCATCCTAGACTCCTTCATCTCCCTCGCCTTCCACATTGGATCAATCTTAAATATCCTAAATATTCCTGAATCTGTTTTGCCTTCCCTGTCCCCACTGTCATTGCCTTTAGTTTAGGTTGTGGATGTCCCTCATTTGGGACATGGGTCCAGCCATCTAGTGGGTCTCCCAGCCTTTAACCTCATCTTCTCCAATCCATTCCCCACCCAGGCCAGCAGAGTGGTCTGGTTAAAACACGCATCTGTTTATCTTGCTAGAAGGGCTTCACTGGCTCCCTTTTCTACAATAGTAATTCCCTGGGTGTATTGTCCGTGACACTGGTTCTATGGATATGTCCTACAGGGGAGAGGAGAAGTTCTGAAATAAGTTTGGGAAGCACTGCATTGTCATCTTCCTCTAGGATATCTGCAATGCCATGAGCTCATTAAAGTCTCTGAGATGTTCTGTGCCAAGGAGATGTTCTGCGGTTGTTTGATTTATGGTTTCCCAAACATACTTAACCACAGAACCCCCTTTCTAGGTAACACCTGAGGACATCCTAAGGTAGTCAAGTGCTGAATTGCAGGACCCAGCCTAGGTCGCCCACATAACATTTAGGAAGCTTTGCCATCCACTCCCATTTACTTTCCCTGTTTTCAGGGACAGGGCTCCCCAGGACGCAGGCTCCAAGACAGAGATGAGCATGCAGGGGGTTTATGAGGGAGCACCCTTGGGGTCAACACCTGTGGAAAGGCAGGCAGGGAGCAGGAGTGGTAGAGGAGAAGTCAAGCTCAGTGTAGTTTCAGGGGAGGCTTCAGCCAACACTACGCAAGATTCTCCAATTGGGGCCTGGGGTCAGGTCTTTATACCCCTGTGTCCACTTGTCTCCGGATGCCAGCCACCCTGGGAAAGGACATGACCTTGGGTCAGAAGTTTTCTCCAGCCAAGGCAATCCCTATAGCTGGGGGAATAAATTTTTCACACCCAAAAGGAGATCTGGACAGAGCATGTTAGCAACCCCCATACCAACCTAACAAATATATACAGATTGTTACCAGAATTGACAAAAGGGCTCGACACCACCATTATCAGCAATGCTAAGGATCTTCTCAGTCCAGTGTCTAATATTATTACCATCATTTTACACAGAGAGAAAAAGGCCCGGAGGAAGTGTTTGGCCAGGGCACTAATCCAAATACCTCTGGTGACCAGTGACTGGGCAGATAGTGACCATGAGTGATGTGGCAGTGGCCATGCCTGTGGCAACCCAGAGGGCCTGTCCCTGTTGAAAGCCTGAATAGAGCGCTCTAGCTCACTGTGCAGCCACTCTTGCCAGGCCCTTTGGTTTCACCAGAAAAGCTAGAAACCCAGATTTTTATAAGACATTAATTAGCAGTCAATTTAGCTTGCTTCAAACACTGTGCTGGTCACTGCTTTGCTGGCTACTTGTGGCCCGTGGGCTGCCAGCTTATGACCCCTAGTTAGGCCCCACAGGATTCTCAGTCTCTTCTTTAGTCTCTAAGTGTCAACAACCTTGGTAATGTGAAGGTGAAGTTCTAGCCTTAGCTTTAGAAGGTGGTGGTAAGTTATTCATCAGTTAATTAATTAATTCATCCATCCATCCATCCAACACTTTCTGGGTACCTGCACCATGCCAAGTCCTGTCCAAGGTGCTGAGGACCCTTAGTTGGGTGAGATGGCTCCTACTCTTTGGGGAGCTCAGAACCCAGTGGGAGAGACAGGTATAAATAATTGCAGCACAATGTCAAGGTGCTATGACAAAGTGTGCAAGATGCTACAGAAACATCAAGGGTGGGATCAACTCGCCTGAGGGTTGTAGAAGCTTCAGGGAGGAGGTGGCCTCTGAGCTGAGCCTCAAGGCACGAAAGGGAATTCAGATGAAGAAGAGAGGAAAGGGCGCTGCAATCAGGAACAATTGCTTGTACCAGGCACAGATCTGGGGAGAGCTGGGCTATGTCCTGGGACTGGAGCATAACGTGCATGGCAGGTGGAGGCAGTGGTGGAAGCTGAGGCCGAGAAGGAACATGATCATGAAGGCTTTGCATGCCAGGCCCGGGAGTTTCCTCCCTGACATGCATATTGTCAACAGAGGAATGATCAGATCAGATTTCCCTTCATCTCTTGCAACAACAGCCTCTTAGTCGGATGCCTGCCCCCTAGTTTCTACCTGATCAAACTCATCCTGAACACAACTGTCAGGCTATTTTGCCCAAAACATTGCTTTGCCTTTGCCCTGTAAAGAATGAATGCCGGCTACCTATTTTCTAATACATAAGTAAGCCCTGTTCCTGTCTAGTTTTTAAGGGCTTTTAAGACCCTCCTCACTCTCCAGTTTATTCCCAACTGCTCTGCAACTTGGATTCTTCACCTTGGTCAGACCTATCTCCTTAGCAATCATGCCCCTCACATGCCATGTGTATTCTCAACTCTGGCTGGACTTACATTTTAGAACTTTCCTTCCAGCTGCAGTAGGGGGGTGGATCAGAAGAGGAGACACACAAGGCAGAAAGACCACTGAAGTGACTGTTGTAATCAGCTAAGAGAAGATGAGGCCTGGCCTCTGGGGGCTCAGGCAGAGATATTTAGGAGGCAAGGGGCCAGGGCGTGCCTGCCCGACAGGGTCACCACTCCTAGCTTTGGGAGGGGTGGATGAATAATTAGTCCCTATGAGGGCTCATCACTCTTGGGTTCTCTTTGTCCCAGGTGAACACCCACCAAGACAGCGCCTTCACGTTTCTCAGCCAGGGCCTGGAGTACGCCAAGAATTCCCGGGCCTCCCTCCGGAAGTCCTCAGTCATGTTCATAGGTAACCTGCCCTGGTACAACCAGCCCTGCTCCTGGAGCTCTGCACCATCTCCAGTTTGCTTTCTCCCCTTAGAAGGAAGCTGCCAGCCCTTTTGGCACCTGGGTGGATGCTTCCCCTTGGGTTTGAGAGTTGGCCATCAGATAGTTGTGGGGCAAGTTAGAAAGGTCTTATCTTCTCTAAGCTCACTGCCTGGAAAGTGGGCCACAAGGTGCATTCAGCCTGGAGTCCCTGTGCAGGTCACAACCTTGGTGACTGTACACAGCAGAACTGCTGCTCCCCCCCGGAGCACAGCTCGGGTCTAGGCCCAGCAGGAGCCTGCCGTTGATTGTGGCAGGAGGGCCAAGTGGCACAGTGGAAAAGTGAAGTCAGATCTCAGCTTCCTGATCCCCTTTCTGAGCTCAGTTTTCTCATCTGTGAGATGGGGATCAACTGGTTTCAGACTGGACGAGAATTTTTTAAAATTTTTTTTTCATGTGAAGCCTGACACATCAAGGTACTCACTCAGTGTTAGTTACCTTCATTTTTATTTCCCACAATCCCAACCTCTGCCTCTGTGGGGAAAAAACAAATAGCAGATTCCACTCATCCCGAATCTCTCACAGGACCCTCTGATGACATGCTGGGCATGTCTCCTCCCACCTTACCTCCCCCTCCCCCCGCAAATAACCACACACCCTTCATTGAGGGCTAGGAAACCCTGCTGCAAAGAAGCTTGGAGAGGGTGATGCTCCCAGCCCCCCACTTTGTAAAGCGATATTTCCTTGAATTTCCTCAACTCATTTGCAGTTTTTCACCCATCCAGTCATCCATGGATCCCTTCAGTGGTTTATTTAGCAAATGATGGTGACCCTCTACTCTGTGTCAGTCACTGTGCTTAGTCTAGAGAAACAAGGAACCCTCAGGAGGTGATGCTTATGGTGGGAGGCAGTTAATGTGATCAGTGATGGGATAGAGGAGACATGCCCGGGACTGGGGGAGTCCTCAGAATGTGGGGCCTGCTTAGACTAAGGGAACCCTGAGAAACGCTTACCTTAGCTCCAGGGCAGGAGCAGGAATGATTTCCTGGAGGAGCAACTTTGCTGAGCTGAATATTCAAAGATAATCACAATTAGCCAGGTAAAGGGTGTAGGAAAGGCCTTCCAAGAGGTATAGGCCATTTAAGGATCTGCTGGTACTTTGGGCACGCAGGCTGGGAGCAGGGGAGGGCTGAACAATATTGCTGAGGAGCTGGGTGTCAGCCCCTCCAAGGGCCCTGCCAACTGCCTGCCTGGAAGGTATGCCAGGCACTCGGTGTCTTTCATGTTATTGTGGCTCAAACTCCCCAGAGAAGGGGCAGCTGAGGCAGCACCTCCCTAAGTCTGAGGATATTAAGGGCCAGTCTGATCAAGGGACCACCTGGGGCTGCCCGACAGAATTGGCTACAGTCCACATCCTGCCCCTGTCCTGATGCCATCCCTGCCCTTCAAGCCTGCCACCTCTCCCTTGGGGACTCTGTCACAGGGTCAAAATGAAGTTCTCCTTTTGTGTTCTCGTTTGTGGGGCTGAAAGAGTGGGGAGAGCTGCTCTGAGGGTGGGATTGGGGCAGGTCAGAGTCAGGAGGTAGATGTGCTCACCTCTCGGATTATGCTCAAGGGTCCCTGGTCCCCTTCATGGATAACATAATGACGGAAGATCGTCTGACTGAAGTGAAAACTGGTAAGCTGTGTGCTGCGTTGGTGAGATTTCGGGGGCCGGTGAGAGAAGGGGTAGCCTCACAATGGGTCATAGGAAAGGGAAAGGATAGGTCCCAAGGCAAGAACCCTCACTCAGCTCAGCTCAGTTCAGTTGTCAGAGTCAGGAGGTAGATGTGTTCACTTTTATGCAGGCTCGATTACATGTTAGCTACCATGTAGTCACCAAGACACAGGCTATCACCCCATCCGAGGGGAACTTATAGCCTAGGAAACCAGGCTCAGAAAGCCAGACCAAAAACCATTTGGTTCAGGTCAAGCAGTTCAGATTCTTAAGGGGGAAAGATTAATTTTGTAAGTGGGAAAGCTGATGGGAAAGCTGAAGGTAGGCCAGGGCAGTTCAAGAAGGCTTCCTGGAGGAGGCAGGTTTTGCTTCAGGCTTTGAAGTGTAAACAATTTGAAGATCTGGGAGGAAGGTAAGATGAGGGGAGGCTGAGCAGAGGGTGCCTAAGTCAAGGTGTGGAAGTGAGAAGGAAGCATGAGGTATGAGACCCATGTGGGGACCTGGTCTTAACAAGTGGCCTCTTCCCTTCCCATGACTCAGTTCTGGAAAACTTGAGACACGACCCCGACGCATCAGTGTGCATCTGTGCGGCCCAGGCCCAGGAAAACATCCTGGCCAGCTGCTGGCGGAACTCCTGGCCATATGGGGACACGTGGGTGTGTGACCCAGCCACCACCCACCGCTGGAGCTCTAGCTGTGAGAACCTGCCCTCTTCCCACCAGCGGCGGTCCTGGATCATGCAGGCACTGGGCTCCTGGAAGATGTCCTTGAAGCAGTGATGTCCCTGAGCCCCCAGCCCTCCTCAGGGGAGGATACAGCCCCAGCCATGCTCACTATAAATGCCACGTGGCTTACCTCTGTCTCCTGAGCGTTTCCTTGTGGGAGATGCCTTGGGGTCTGCAACAGTCATTGCTTTGTTCAACAAATCAGTGAAAGAAGCATAGCCTTCATCGTTGGCTCTGGGCATACAAAGGAACAATGAGGAAAAGGAGTGGTAGAAAGATTGCTCAAGTGTAATGCGAGGGTGGGCAGCGGCTGGGGGAATTGTGTGGACAAGAGCGTCGGAGGGGAGTCCTGGCTGGAGCCTTCAGAGCAGAAGGGTGAGGAGGTGCTGTGCTGTAGTGTGGGATGAACAGGGGGATCAGACCTGTGTGAGATTAAGGAAAGAGAATTTTCGGGACCTGGTGGTTGATGAAGGAAGGGGAGGAACAGGAAGGTGCCCAGGTTTCTGGATGGATGACTGAGTCAGCAGAGTCCCCCCTCTTTGACTGATCCCTCAAGCCAGCAGCAGGTCTGGGGAGGGATGAATTCAGGCCAGACGTGGTAAGCTGAGGGCCTTGTGTGCCATGTTAGTAGAGACACCCCAGGTGGCTGGCTGCACAGGGGTGGAGCTCAGTAGAGGGATCTGAGATGGAAACAGATTTGAGACTCATCTGTGTACAGGGGTGAGGTGAGGTTCCCTGGGTGAGTCTGTGGAGTGGGAAGAGACATAGCCTGAGGAGCACCTACATTTTAAGCTCCTGCTGGAGATAAGGAGCCCATGAAGTTGACCACACAATTATCCTCCAATAAATGGTAGGCCAAGGCCATCAGGATCCTGGGTAGAGAGAGTAGGATATGGGGATGGTCCTTTTGCATAACCTTTTCCATTGCCAAGAATGTTCACAAGCAATGCATCCTTTGAGTCTCAGGGTAGCCATACAGAGTTATGGGGAGGGGAGGCCAGCTTCATTGCCTACATTCAGCGTATGAGGACAGGGCTCAGATGGTGGGCCTTGTCCAAGGTCACACAAGGGAATCAAGAGTGTGAGTTCCAAAGGTCTCCTACCCATGCCTCAGCCCTTTCCACTGAGACACTGCTGCTCTCATTGGCTAGAACTCAGGTTTGGTTGTGGCCTTGATGAATGACAGTTATCATATTCTGGATCTGGGTGGCCTCAAAACTCAACAAAGGCTAATAGACTCAGTTACTGGCCAAGGCCACCAAGCAGTCATGAGTTGGAAGGGTCAAAGAGCACTGGGAAGTCACTTCCCTTCTCTGAGCCTCCCCTATCATCACCTGTAAAATGGGTTCTTACTTCACAGGGTTTTATAGGAATCAAATTTAAAAGGACTTAGTAGGCTCTACACTCAAGAAGGGAAAAGATAATGGAGAGGAGACTAAGAATGGGAACTGTAGGGAGCAGGCTGGAGGAGGAAGTGTGGGAAGGTCTGGGTTTGGAGGAAAGGGATCAGGTGTTCTGCTGCACGTGGGCAAGTTAGAAGGGAAAGACAGTCCTCGCCCTGGAAGGCTCATGGCCCTCCATGTGTCATCCTTAGCCCTGCTGTCTCTCATCTTCGTATCATTAATGAGCAAGACTGGCATCTCCACTACTGGGCTTCAGATCTCCCCTCTCCTCTGGCCTCTCACTAACAATTTCCTTATCAATCTCTTAGCCCAGCCTTCCCCCATCAATCCTTCACTTGGCAACCCAGGCCTTCCTGAGACAAATTTGCCCTTAGGTCCATGACTCACTATCTTCTGCAGGATGAAGGCCAACATACAGTCAGGCCCTCTGGCCCTTGCCCACCTCGCTGGTCTTACTCTTGCCGTATCCAGCATGCTGGTGGTTGTACACCTCCATGCCTCTCTGCATATGGGCTCCCACTGCCTGAAATGCCAACTTACCCTCTAGCCTCCATCCACCTGCAGAAACTTTCCTCATCTCTGCTCTCAGCTCAGCATCACCTCCTCTGTGAAACCTCCTTGAATCCCTGTTACCGGAAAAGAGGCCTGACCCTGAGTGGGTGTGCCTCAGACTGGCCTGTAATATGTGGGTTCTTGACTTTGTACAGGAAAGATTTCACAATATGAGTCCAGGTAACTTTGGGAATACAGTATGTTTATTAAAGCTGGGGGTAGTGAAATAAGGGAGGGCCTAGGATAGAAGAAGCAACAGGAGAGAGCCTGTTGGCTCACTAGAAAGTCAGAGAAATGAGGGCCTTGGAGACAGGTTGCAAGTCTCATGGGGTGTCTTAAGAGTTTAGGAGATGCACGCCTGTGGGGGAAGAGGGGAAAGGGAAAGGTGTAGATGTAGCTTCCTGGAGGGAAGGCACCCACTGGGTGCTTTGTTTTGAGGGTTTTTAAAGGCTGGGAGTTTAGGGGAGGTCTTAGGAGGATCTCAATAGAATATTCACCAGCTTTTCCAGGTTTGTGCTTTCAGGGTTGTAGTCTCTACTGACTGGTTAGAGCCAGCGCAGGGGGTCATTGGTTACTGCAGCTGGTCCTGGAGTCTCCCACCTGGTTTTGCTGCTTTTCTGGGCCTGGAGCTGAAATACAGCTGAGGTCTAGATGTTACCTCTAGAGAGGTGACCTATATATTTAGCTAGAAATTGCTCTGCCAGTTTGTTCAGCTGTCTCAGTTTCCCCATTCTACTTGCGAAGGAATTTTCCTAGCCTCTTACTATCCTGCCTGGCACCCCCAGGTAACACCCTGTTCCTCCACTGTGCAGACTTGTAAGCAGCCCCAGTTTCCATTGGTCTGAGGCCTGGCTGCCTTTCCTTCTAGACCAGGCTTTGGGCTCCAGGAGGCTGGAGCACCAGATGCAGAGCTGACTGCCATTTGCTGGGTAACCCAGTGGCTGCAGGAAGGCTCACCTGGCCTGGAGACCTTGTTTCCATCTCAGCTGTGGGAGGTAGAGGGTTGTTAATCTTGGAAATAGCCACGTCTGATTACATCACTTCTTTCCCCCCAATTCTCCAAAAGGTCCCATTGCACTAGGGAAAACCCCAGTCCTCAGAATCACCGCCCATTATCCCTCCCACCTCACCTCCTCCTCTCTCATTGTGCTCCAGCACCCCATCCC